ATTTATTTTTTTTTTGTCTTTTTGAGACAGGGTCTCGCTATGCAGTTCAGGCTGGCCTTGAGCTCACTTTGTAGTCCAGGCTGACCTCGAACTCACAATGATCCTCCTGTCTCAGCCTCCCAAGGGCTGGGATTACAGGCGTGCACCACCATGCCCAGCTCCCAGCCCTTTTTTCATTTTGAAAAAGGTTCTTGCTAAGTTACTAAATTACCCAGTGTGAGTTTGAGTTTTGAACCCTTCTGCCTCAGCCTCCCAGAGTGGTGGGATTACAGGTGTGCTCAGTATGCCCACTGATTTTCACTTTGAATAAATAGTATCATTAGTAGTCAATGCATAGTCTTACTCTCTTGTTTCATTTTGTTTTGTTGAGATAGGGTCTCACTCTGTGTTGGAGACTGAGCCTGAACTCACTATGTAGCCCAGGCTTGCCTCAAACTCATGGCAATCCTGCTGCATCAGCCTCCCGAGTCCTGGGATTAGAGGCACCACCATGCCCAACTGTCACAGTCTTGCCCTTAAGAGTTGTCCACAAATATATGACATGTCGTATACCATCTCAAAAGTGCTAAGAAATGCCTGCCACAACTTAAATGCAACCTGCAGAAGTTGTCCTGAAGTTATACCTAATTGGTTGGACGTTTCCTTTATTTTGTGTCCTCTGGGAACTCTTACAGCTTAAGGATTGGAACAATGTCACATCTGGTGGACCACACATCAGGGGACCTGCCAGTTAGAGACACGGACTCAGTATCTCTGTCAAAAGGTAAGTCCAGCTGGGCGTGGTGGCACACGCCTGTAATCCCAGCACTTGGGAGACTGAGGCAGGAGGATCATTGCGAGTTCGAGACCAGCCTGGGCTACCAAGTGAGCTCATGGCCAGCTTGAACTGCATAGTGAGAACCTGTCTCAAAAAGACAGGAAAAAAAAAGAAGGTAAGTCCATTTTGCAAGTGGGAGGGGGACCAGGAGATGGGTGGGGGAGAAGGGAAGCAGAGGGGAAGTGAAAAGAAGTAACATGTATTCTATACATGGACCAACTCCCTGCAATGACTGATGATTGCAATCACTGTAATGCACATGTGTACCAATAAAATAAATCCCAGCACTTAGGAGGCTGAGGCAGGAGGATCTTTGCCAGTTCAAGACCAGCCTGGGCTACAAAGTGTGGCCAGCCTGAACTGCATAGGGAGACCTTGTTCCAAAAAGACAATAAATAAATAAATAAAATAAAAGATTAAAAAAAAGCAAAGTAAATCTAGCACCTGAGGACAGAGGCCTCTGAGAATTAAAACAACTCTGCCAGTGTGGGGCATCTTGTTTGTCTTCACAGTGACTGCTTTGCTTTTATTTATTTATTTATTTATTTATTTATTTATTTTTTACTGCTTTGCTTTTAGCTCTTCAGTCTTTTAAACATTTCATTCATAAACTTTCTTTTGGGGGAGGGTGCTAGGACTGAACCCTGAGCTGCTGCAGTGAACTTCATTACCAGCCCTTTTTACTTTTTTTTTTTTCCCTTGGATACAGGATCTCACTAAATCACTAAATTGCCCAGGCCTAGGCAGCACTAAGGAGGCTGAGACAAGAGGATCGTTGGAAGTTTGAGGCCAGCCTGGGCTACAAAGTGAGCTCAAGGCCGACCAGCCTGAACTGTATAGCGAGACCCTGTCTCAAAAAGACAAAAAGAAAAAAAAAAAAAAATTGCCCAAGCTAGGCTCAAACTTTTAATCCTCCTGCCTCAGCCTCCCCAAGTGCTGGAATTAGAGGTGTGCATCACTACACCCAGCTCTGAATTTTTTTTTTTTATAAACAGATATAGGTAAATAACAGAAATCAAAGTAGAAATCAAAGACATAGAAAAATAGAGAAATTAACAAAATAAAAAGCAGGTTCTCTAA